GATTATTAGTTTTGCTTAGTGAAAATTGTGTTTTAGCACTGCAACGGTAAAAGTGGACTGCCATTTTCTTTTAACCTTTTGCTTGTTTTGGATTAGCCAGGGTTAGATACATGATGGTTCAAGGGTTATTGAGAGCTAGGTTTTTCTTTGTTATTTTGGCCTTTTGTCCATCTGAAGGATGAACAGTGATTCCAGACTGTTACGACAGCAGATGTCCTCCGAGGTTCATTGTTCAACCTCTGTCCTTTTCTTCTGCCGAGACAGTTTTCGTATCTCAGGGTTTTATCATATGACTAAATCATGTTGTTTGAGTTTGTGCAGTCCTAGGCCGATAAATGTTAACCGTTTCTGAGATTGATGTTTAAACGTTTTGTGTTGACCTTCAGTGACCTGTTCTTTAAACAATTAAGGACATCCTGACTTGTGATTTTGTTTTTGTTTCTTGGCTTCCTGCCATAAGCAGACTCTTTTCTCAGTTGGGATTTCTGACCATAATGATTTGACTTGCTGTTTTTAAAAAAAGGTGTTCGGACCTTTCATAAACCTTAGACACTTCCTGTTAAATGAGTCTTGTCAACCATTGATGGGTTATGTAAATTACTGGTGTAGGGTAGTTGAGTATATCATAGATCCTGGGTTAATGAATATACTTTGAACTGAGCCATAATGCTAGCTCACTAATGGGTTGCCTTACTCAGGTCTTTTTGATATGATATTGTGTTTATTTTTATTATTTTATCTTTTGCTGTTCAAATGTTTACATTCAGGGGGAACGCAGTGCGAAGTTTGTGTTCATATTTCATGGTTCTTTTTAATTAATAAAAGGATGTCTCAGGGCATTTTCTGTCCATCTCAGTATTTTGTTTGTATGCTGACCTCACATGTGTGTGGTCTTGATTTTAGCTTAGGATGATACAATGTGGACTGCGCTGGTCAATTTCTATTAAATGTCGGCCCCATTGGGGGTCCAAACTAGACTGGTCAAAAAGTATATTGGATGGTTAAATGGTAAATGGTAAATGGCCTGTATTTGATATAGTGCCTTCTAGAGTCCTGAAACCCCCCAAGGCGCTTTACAACACAACCAGTCATTCACCCATTCACACACACATTCACACACTGGTGGGGATGAGCTACAATGTAGCCACAGCTGCCCTGGGGCGCACTGACAGAGGCGAGGCTGCCGGTTGTTAACAACAGCTGATACCAGTTACCAGATACCAGCCAACTGGTTGTTGCTGAAGATGTCAAAAAGCCACAGTGAACTTGCAGATCCTTGTGTGCTTTCTCGCCACAGACCGTGAAACCAAGGAGATTGGGGGTGCACATGCTTCTACCAAAATGAGGCGTCAAGGTCACTCATCTTATCCCTCCCGCTGCTGCACACTGCTGAGAGGGCCACTACAACTGACCATCCTCATGCGGGCTCGCCGAGGACGGCAGATAAGTAAACGATCTGCCTTAAGCTTGCAGGGCCCATCCACCATGTCGCTGCTGATGTTTGGGGATCACACTTTGCCCTGAAACCGCCCCTCAGCATCTGATGGAACGAGAGGAAATAGCAGCAGTTGGGAGGAACAACGGAAACAACATCTGGTGGTTGAGACCCCTCCTGGTCCATCCACACAACGCTGTGACCTGCCTCCAACGATGTCAAGATCCAGTACCCCAAATCTCCCATCTGGTTTCATGGCTCCCTGTCCAAAAAGACATCCCCTCACCGTCCCAAACGTCACAGGATCCCGCGTTGCTGTAACGTCATCAAGGTTGCTGACACACACATCTTTTGCTCAAAATGGCTCTCTCTCCTGCCACACAACTGGTGTGGCCCAAAGTGCAGATTGGCTCCCTGCCCCCACCTCATGTCGCATGAGGATGGGCATCCCTACGAGGTCATTCGAGCTGAAGTAAGAGAGTCTGGGTCTGTGATGACCCTTTGCCCTTTCCCCATCTACAAACACCAAACCCCACACATCGACGGCCCCGCCATCAGGACTCTTCTGTTTCATCTTGGGGAAAGTGCAACACCATCCTGACGAAGGCATTGTTTTGCTCAAACAACACTTTCCAGTCCACAGACAAGCTCTTTTGACCTCAGCTCTGCCACAGTTAGAGCTGCGTACATTGACATTTTACATTAACTTTCCCCCTCTAGCAACTTCCTGAAATCCAACGAATCGACTGGCGGATCCTGGAGTTTTATGAGTTGGCTGGTATCTCGTAACTGGTATCAGCTGTTGTTAAAGTTTCTCGCACCTGTTATTGTTATCCTGGTCATGATTTGCTTAGTTTTAGGCTGTGTGCTCCCGTGTTTGAAGAATATGGTAAGCAAACTGATGACGAATGTCTTAGTTCAATGTACTCTCCTGAGACAAAAAGAGGAGCTTGCAGAAGATGAATATATTGCCTGATAAAGTTGGTTTCATTATGATTTCAACAATGTAAATTACGGTTTCTGTAACCTTTGTTGTTTGATGTTCTTGTTATCAACTCAGATTGTGATTCTTCATTGTTATAATTATTTAAGGTGAACTCCGTTTGAACAGGGGGGATTGATAGGTAAAAACTGATTATCAAACAGTTACCTCACTCCAAATGGTTGCAGGAATTCCTTTCTACTCCTTTGTGCTTGAGGTGCTTATTTAAATTTGAATGTTTGCTTCAGGTACTTGTGTTCTATTATATAGAGGCCAAACAGGGGGTCCTGCCCTGGCCAAGAGCTTAGGCAGGAACGACTCTCCGTCCTGCCCTGGCCAAGAGACTCTTTGAGCTATTATCTGAAGAATCTCTTTTGTCTTCTGTGGATTCCTAAGGCCAAGGGGTTTTTTGAGGAATGTATGGGTGTGTGTTTTCTTGCAAATAAATGCTCTCCGGAGTTTTCAACTCAGTGTGAGAGGAAAATGCCTTTCGTTTGGTGTGTAATGATTCTCTCACCCATTGCAAAGTATCACCCTTTGCAAAGGATGTGTTTGTTGTCTGTTTAAGGGTTGTTTACAATTGACCAAATTATGAATCTAGTCCCTCTGGGTGTGCTTAGAATTTCTTTGAGGTAATATGGGAGTAATATAGAAATTACCCAACAACTCCATTACTATAAATAGCTCCACAACAAGCTCCAGCTGCAGAAGAACTGCTGTCTTGTAAACTTGTTAAGTTTCCGATGGTCCAACATGGTAAATTATGTTATTTATTCCTGTTAATAAATGGTTTTAATGCTTTAGTAAAGTCACAGAAATGTCTTAATTTATTCTGATCTCACTTCACACACCGCTAAGAAAACCTGAGATGGTTGGATATTTTTTAAATAGAAAATAATAAAAAAAAAATTTAAAGGTTGACTTGGTTAAACTGAAATACGTTTTTACAAGCAATTTACTAATTAATTCATGCTCCTGTTCCTGCTATGCCCCGTTTCCACAACAAACCCCAGCCTGCATCTCATCAGTTTCATCACACACACCTGCTTCCCCTGCTATTTAAGAACCAGCTATCCAACCAGCCAGTGCCAGATTATTGAACACTCCTGTTAGTAAATTCTCCGGCCTTGTTACCAACCTTCAAACCACACCTTAAACCCCTGAGCCAATAGAAATGTGCAATGTTGCGTTTCATTGCCTCCAAGTTAACAGAAGGGCATGTGCGTTGGTCAATATGTCAGACGATTCTAAGTTTTTGTCAGACAATATTAAAACATGTTGGGAATGTCCGACTGCCAGATGTGTTTTCACTAGGGTGACCAGATGTCCCACTTTGTGCAGGACAGTCGCGCATTTTCATTACTTTTCACATGTCCCGCAAATTGAGACTCATGTCCCGCATTATTGACAGTTTCCCGTTTCGAGTTTCAATCTCAAAAAAAAAAAAAAAATTTGTGGAAAAATCTGCCTGTTGCTGTCAATCAAATGGAGGCGGGACTTTAACGCAGATCCGGAGCATGTGTGGAGCGCGCCCGAACCACCAAAACAAATGTGAGAGAGCACGGAGGAGAAAATGCTGTAAACTCGTGAATTAAACGTGTTCAGAGATACTCAACAGTCTTTGTTGTTTCGGAGTCATTTTTTATGTCTGATATGAAGAGGTCAAAAGCAGGTTTTGCAGTAATTAGACAGGTCCATGATAAACACAATGGAGGCTCTAACACAGACAAGCTGCTGCGGTTTCAGATACCTGCTTACAAGCTGAGCCCCTTATAGCACAGTGAAGAAATAATGAGAATAAATAGAAGCTTTGATCACTTATTCTCAGAAATTTGAGGCAAGAAGTACCTCTAAGAAACTCTACTATTAGATTAGATCAGAATCTTTTAGAGATTAGAATCTGATGTTTATTCTCTCACCTAATATTAGAAGAGATTTGTTGTCATGTTTAAAAAATGGTTTGTTTCTGAATGAAGAAAAAAATAGCAAAAAAGTGTGGATATTTTTTCAATGAGATGCAGATTTTTGTGGAAAATTAATTAAAAACAAACATAAATAGATCTAAAAAAATATTACTGGTACTTTTACTGTCATTCTGTTGTGGAAAACATTCAATGAAAACTCTGAAAAGCTGCTTAAACCTGCATGTTTTTATTATTGTGGGTCGATCTATATTATTAAAATGATCCGAGCTTCTACAGAGTTATGATGTGGTAACGTGAGAGGAACTGTGAAATAGTAAAGCTTTTACTGTATACTTGTTCATGAATTAAAAAGAAATATATACAAGAAATATGTGATGATAATAATAATAAGACTAATAATTGTATGTATATGAAACAGTGATATTAGGGCCTTTCCTTTGTTTTTTTCTCATTACATTGGAACTTCACGTTGTCCCACATTGAGTATCTCTGTCCCACATTTGGCAAGTTGGGATCTGGTCACCCTAGTTTTCACAAACGCTGTAATGAGTTTTTTGTTTGAATCATTTACCATAACCCACATTTTTGTGTTTCAGAGTTATTAACCCTACATGTGGGGTAGGGTTATTATCTTTGGGTCCATCTGGGCTCTTCATACCTCCAGAAACCAGCGACCTGCATTCAGGGAGCGGATCTCTGTCCAGTTGAAGAAGGAAGCATCTTCATACTCTCTGTCTGGAAAGACCCTGCTGATGTCGGTGGTTCGTCTCAACGTGTGGTCTCTCATGAGGAAGGGAACCCCGTCCACACTAGAGGAACCAGAACAGGGAGGGATTACGTTCTGTAGAAGGTTAAAAATGTGGAAAAGTCCTGCTTTAAAAACAGACCCTACATATCTACCAGAAATAAACCGAGGAGCAGAGAAGCTACCCAGCTAACAATTAGCTTACCTTGCTCTAAACACTTACTTTAAAACAGGGTTTTGATTTTCTATGGTTCAAAAGTTCAGGAACAACAAGGAAAGCGAATCACTAACTTTTCTGTGAGCTCTCACTTTAAAGTGTACCATGCTCTAGGACGATAACAAGGATGATATTTTACCAGAAACTTGGTTGAATCTATTATTTTTGTATGTATTAAGTGTTTTTGCCTAGAAACAGACTAACACATTTAAATGATTTAAAGAGTAAAAATTATGCAAATCTGCCGTTCTGCATCTTTGTGCTGCCACGTGGGTCTCTACCGCCTCTATAAATACTCCAGATGTTAAAAGAAGTAGACCATCTATTTTTTGTCAGTGTTTGGTTTTGGAATTACGTTTGGAATTATGTGCCTAAAAGACCCCCATCAGCCGCGGAGAGTTCCCACCCACAAATATGGTTGAAGATCTGACATTTCTGTTTACAGAGATAGAGAGAGGATATGTTGGAGAAGATGTTCTCTCTGCTAGTCCTGCTTCTCACATTCTTTGCATGAGCTGCTAAGTGAATGACGGGAGCCGGCTCGTCATTGGGAGCTGTTTTGTTGTTTTATTTCATGTTTTTTTTAGCAGCAAACCAGTTTTGTTTCACTTGAAACGTTGTCAAACGGAATATATTCAATTAATCAACAGAAGCTTAGATTAGAACACTTAACGACAAAATATTTTGCAGTTGAATGCAGAGTATGCATGTGCTGGCGCATGGCCAGGATGGTACCACCTCTGCCTCAGGGAAAACCCTGTTTCATGTCTGACTGCTTTGGTGTTAAGGCCAGTTGTTTGGTTAGCAATGACTGGGTTTATATATGAGCAGCTGCTTGCTCAACTAGCGTCGAGGTGAGTTATAGCTACCTGGCAACTGGCTTCTCACTATGTTGCCACCGTCTTGTGTCAGATGGCAGGCCCTTTTCTAAATTTCTTCAGAGGTTTTCTAGTTATTATTATTATCATACCATCTGGTGACAGGTTTATGTTACCTCCTTACATCCCTAGCACTGCCAGGACGCAACAGTGGTCCTGACATTTATGTGCATGTGTGTGTGTGTGTGTGTGTGTGTGTGTGTGTGTGTGTGCGTGCGTGTGTGCACGCATATTGGACACGACCTGAGTGATTTCTGCATTTAAACCATTTGGATTAGAGTTCTTTACCTATAACACTGTTGGATGAGAATGCAGGAACGTGACTGTAATTTCACTTACTTAATGTCATAAACACCCAGACCCAACCTTGTAAAGTAATAAAACAAAAAGTACAACCACTCAGTGTAAGAATGGGTGTGGTTAGCAACAGCTTGTATTCCTTAAAGTGATAGAGCCCTGAAATAGCTCATTCTGGAAGGTACTGAAAATGTCAATTATAAATGTAAGATAAAGTTCCCTTTGGAAGTGAACAAACGTTCTGATCATGTTGTTTAACCCTCAGGAATCACTTCAATTTGCTATAATCCTGAGTCGTTAGAGGACAATCAGACACATGGACTGGGCTCCTTATCTAATATAATTTGTGCTAAGATAATAATGCTTCTTAGATTACTGATCTGTGATTAACAACATGTTTTATCATTCAAGACCATGAGGAGAAAAATTCAAACCACACATTCTGTTAGTCTTTTTCTTGAGTAATTGTGAATTATTTAAACAATGTCTATGTGCTTAAATTCATGTTTGTTTGTTTTTTCCTTTATTCAGCTACAGAATAGCAGGACATTTTTAGCTCCAGCTCTCCTAAAAGATTAACATCTCAGTGGGTCTATATTTGGAACCTGATGGAAGACTGAATCCATTAAACATGATATTGATGTCTATTTAATAACCTGATGGTGACATCTGCTTCAAAGGAACTTGCTCCATGCTGCAGGGCCCTGTTGAAGGACATCAGGGTGTTTTCTGGGACCAGCTGGACCAAAACAGGACAGACAAGTGGACAAGGACAATCAGCCACGATGCAAAAAGTCCAGAACAAGAGGATGTCCTTGGAAACAGTGGCTGGGCCGAGCTGCATGGGTCCGAGTTGCTCTGAGTAGTGTTCCTGGAAAACCTCCTTTAGTGATCTGTGGGTACAAACTGTCTTCCTATACTGTGATCCTCATTTGGACACATTGTATGTTGTCTTTGAAAGAAAAATGTCACATTAGTGTTTTTTATCATATTAAAAACACCAGCAAGAAATCATAATGTTCCTCCATCATGTTGATAGATTAACTTAAGACAAGACAGAGTAGCCACTGACCATAGGAGCCCCACGACGGCCGATGATAGCTGGAGCAGGTTTGAGGGTTTTGCGGTCCATGATGCAGGGGCAGGTGAATGTGAGTGGTGCCAGGCAGATGGCCAGGTGGACTACAATGTAGAAGAGTAACACCATCATCTGGAAACCTGAAAAAAGAGAGCATTAGTTGGTGTACCCTACAGAGGGCCTTAAGGAGGGACAATTCCTAATGGTTTCATTTAAGAAAAAAAAAAAAAAATATATATATATATATATATATATATATATATATATATATATATATATATATATATATATATGTTTCAGGGTTTTTGGTCAGAGTGCTATATTTAAGGCAAGCTCTTTGCTCAAAACACGCTAAGAAAAACAGGCTTTAGTCATTTCGGAGTATTTTATATCTGTGTTTGGGTCCCCAAAAACAAATCATTGCATCTTTTAGCATCTTTATTACAACACAGCCGACTGAAAAGGAAATGTTTTTCAGTGTGATCTAACAATATGATCGAGACATTACTGTTTTGTGAATCTATTTTAAAAGCCCTACATATTGCTCCTTTCATTTCCCTCCTCCAATCCTTACATAAACTGTGTACTTGCCTTTTAAGATAACACAAACAAACAACAACAAATTAAAGAATTATTGGGCCTGTGCCAATTCACTACTTAACTGATGCATTACAATGTGACATGTTTTGCTTCAAAATCAACTTGTAAATGTTCATAAATGATTATGAATAAATGCCAAAAAACTTCTGAAAACCGTGGCAGAGACATAGAAGTTATGCGGGCCACTGTGGAAAAAAACAAAACAACAATGGCAGCAGTTTGTTTATTAGCTTCAGCCGCTGAGCGTGAGATGTGCTCGTCAAGAAGATTGAAGGACAGTTGTGTAAAACTAAAATAAACAACAACAGCAACGCTACCAACATTCAACATCACCTTACACACATCCATCCTGGGTTAGATGAAGAGAAGCCAGTGGCTGTTCCTTCTTACCAGGCAACTATCAAGGAAGAATTAATAAAACTTGTTCAACAACTCCAGCTTGTTTCATTAAACTATGGCATTACTCTGCTGCAAAGTTGAGTCAGCGCCAGGGTGATTTATAAGAAGTCATTTATCAGTTTGTGGTGGTGTTGTGGCACGATCGTGTGTTTGTTACTAAAGATTATTTGATGGTGTGATAAAGTGGGTGTGGGGGCAGTCTCCGCGACGTCAAGGACTTCACTTAATCTTGAACATATCTTGTTTTTAATGCAGACTGGAGCCAAACTAATTTTTTTTCCCTCACAGTCCCATGTGAACTATCTGGTGATCTAAGCTTTAGCTCTAAAGACCAGATGTTTCCGCAGCTCTGCATAACTCCAGTTTGGTATCATAGCTGATTCTGTTTACAAGAGTCAAACTAACTACTTTCATTTTCATTTTTCACCATTTTCTGTAGATTTCATGCAAAATTATGGTAAATGACCTGTATTTGACCTGCCTTCTAGAGTCCTAGAACCCTGGGTCTTTATCGGGTAGGAGGTCAACGTGACTAGTCTGTAGTGCTCTGGTTCCCTGGGAAGTGATGTTTTGGCAAATTAAACCACACAAGAGGTCTTCCACAGGATGGAGGACTGCTTTTAAAGGCTCAGGTTGAGCATGTACATGGCCACTTCCCAAAGCTGTTCAGCACAATCTTTGAGCAGTCTGGCTCTGATCCGGTCAGGACCTGCAGCTTTCCTGCTCTTGAGACATGTTATGACTCCCGCATCCTGGCTCCTCTGCCTCCCACACAACACAGCCTTCAGCACCAGGGACAGCTCCAGAGTGGCCTTCACACTCACTCCAGGACCATGGAGAGAGGCACGCCAGCCGCAGCAGCTGAATCCAATCTTCCATCTTCCCTCCCAAAGACTCTTAACACTAGAACTCCCAAGGCAGTCATTTTGACCGTTTTCATATTTTAATATGTAATAACTTTAGTTAGATGGATCTCATGTTGTCCTGGCTTCCTGGCTTTCCTATTTTTATGTGTCCTTTATTTTTGCTTTATAATTTCCATAAAATAATGTGTCAAAAAATAAATATAGCTGTTTTTGTCTTTGTGTCTGGCTCTATTATTTACATGGTAACGCTTTCCCACAGATAACGGATAGTGTCGCCGTTGCTAAGCAACCAACTTTCCAGCTCCAGACATATCTCACATAGACCAATACAGTTGCACAGTCGGAAACAGCTGTGCTTTCACCAAGCTGGATGGAAAAGTCCCTTGCCGTCTTCAGTCTTGAAATAAGCTGCTCCTCAAGGATGCTTGAAATATCAATAATCCTTCTGGAAACTGTGTTGTCACTCAGTGGAATGCATTTTAATTTCTCTGCAGCTTTTTCATCAATAACTGCACTAACCATGTCTATTGCAGCAGGTAAGATGAGTTATTCTGCAATGGTGTGAGGCTTTTTCTCGGTGGCCACATGGTAAGAAACCATGTAGGATGCAAGCTGAGCTTTATCATTTAATGTGACATTTCTGCGAAGAATATCAGCAGATGATTTAATCTCCTGCGCCTTTCTTTGAAAGAAGTCCGGTGGTTTATTTACCAAATCAGCGTGGGGCGTTTCCAAATTTCACTTTAATTTGGCTGGCTTTAAACTCTCATTTGCGAGCTTTTCATGGCATATTACGCACATAGGTCGATCTTCTTGATTTGGTTTAGAAAATTTTGCAAATCCAAAGTTTAAGAAAAATTATTTTTATGGCCTCGACCTGGATTTTTTTTTTCTTAGCTGCTGGTTCTTCTCCTGGTTCTCCGACTCTGTGTTTCCCACTCTCCTCATATTGTTGACTGTTGGCGGATGGAATTTCTGGGATTTCATCTTTGTTTTGGCTTCGTTCACTATCCTTGACATTCTGTTTTGATTATGCTTTTTTGAATAGCATTGCAGTTTTTTTTTTGCATTGTTCTATAGTCTCTGTAGTCTGGCGTTCATGTGATGTAGTTTGGTTTTTGTCCGTGTCTTTCTTTTTCATTAACCAAGCATCCGGGAACAGGTCCAACTTACTACCGGCTATGTGGACCAAACTCACGCTCCTCTGGTAAAGGGACTGAATGGCCCTTAACAGAAAGCCACCCACCCCATACTCCTGGAGTGTCCCCCACAGGGTGCCCCTGGGGACACGGTCATAAACCTTCACCAAATCCACAAAACACATATGGATTGGTTGGGCAAACTCCCATCACCCTTACAAGGGTATAGAGCTGGTCCGCAGTTCCACGGCCAGGACGAAAACCACATTGCTCCTCCTCAATCTGAGAATCAACTATCGATCGGACCCTCCTCTCCAGTACCTTGGAGTAGACCTTTCCAGGGAGGCTGAGGAGTGTGAACCCCCTATATTTGGAACACACCCTCAGGTCACCCTTCTTAAAGATGGGGACCACCACCCTGGTCTGCCACTCCAGATGAACTGCCCCCAATGACCACTCAGTGTTGCAGAGACGTGTCAACCACGACAGCCCTACAACATCCATTGCCTTGAGATACCCAGGACGAATCTCATCCACCCCCGGGGCTACGCCGCAGTGTAGTATTTTGACTACCTCGGCAACTTCTGCCCCCGAGATTGGACAGTCCATCCCCAGGTTCTGGTTCCTCCTCGGAATGCGCGTAGGTGGGATTGAGGAGCTCCTCATAGTATTCCTTCCACCGTCCAACTATAGCCCCAGTTGACATCAGCAGCTCCCCATCCCCACTGTAAACAGTGTGAGCGAGTTGCTGCCTTCCTCTCCTGAGGCGACGGACAGTTAGCCAGAACCTCTTTGGATCCGATCGATAGTCTTTCTCCATGGCCTCACCAAACTCCTCCCACGCCCGAGATTTTGTCTCGGCAATTGCCACTGCTGCACCCCGCTTGGCTATCCGGTACCTGTCTGCTGCCCCTGGAGACCCACAGACCAGCAAATAAAGAAATGTGTTAAATTTATTATTTGAGTTATCAGGACCCCATCTTTGTGTCTTTAAATGTATATTTTGGCAAAGTCCACCTACTTAAATGCAGTAATGTTTTCCAAAGCACAAACCTACAGATTTAATATAAATGGTAAATGGTAAGTGGTAAATGGCCTGTATTTGATATAGTGCCTTCTAGAGTCCTGGAACCCCCCAAGGCGCTTTACAACACAATAACCCAGTTCTGCTCTTGAGCATCAACAGAAATGCTCATAAACATTAAGATGGGCTTAAACTGTTATGTTGTTGGGTTAAAAAGCAGGAATTTGACCCGTTATTAGGAACCAGGGAGCAGAGACGATAATCCTGACACAATGACTTTAAACCATAAAACCTGTTAAAAATCATAATTTCTTTCATTTATCTGCCCAAAAGCATGTTTTTTTTCAGGAAGCACATAAATAATAAATGTGTTAATATTACAGATATGTTTTAAATTAGCAACGTCATCACACATAGTTGCATCAATGAGCAGCTGAGCGTTCCCACGGCAGGTCAGCGCTGGACCGAGCTGAGTGAAGTCGGCTTCCAACCCACATCAGAAATTCATGCAAATAGAGTGGCCAGTGCTTTCTGATGTGGGTGAGAGCTAGCTTCACTCAGCTGCTGAGGTTGGTCTGCTGAGCAGAGGACACAGACAGCAGCAGCACTTTTAACTTTTGTGAGACAGGCAGAAATTTGCATTTTGCGCATAGTGTTCGTTAACAAAAACAACACTAATTTGTACCATATTCTAATTTTTGGAGTTTCAGCTGCACTAATGTTGAGTTTTTGGTCTGACCTGATACATTCGGAACCACAGCAAAATTAAATTAAATTAAATTAAATTAAATTAAATTAAATTAAATTAAATTAAATTAAATTAAAGGACAGCAACCACAGGTCCGTCTGTGTGGAAAATCCTTTGAAGCAAACCAAGCCATGCTGAGCAGGTACATAGAAAAAGGCCATAAGAAACTGTTTGCGTTTAATATCATTAAAAACAAGTGAAAATAAAAGCTCCAGACCTCACCAAACTGTGACTGATGCTACTTTTAAATGAAATCACTGATTTGTAGTGTACAAAAAAATCCTTAGTTACAAACTTTCAAGACTTACTGGACCTCTCTTTGCGCACCACATGGCTGGCTACCAACCAGCTCATGGCTGTGACTGAGACCAGGGCTCCAAGGTGCAGGAAAGGGGCTGTGGACTACACAAAAAGACACATTCAGAGGTCTGAAAAAGAACCTATTATGTAAATGTGACTGTTTACATTTTGTTGTGCTACCATGTGGGTTTACACTGACTAGACAAGACACGACAGGACACGGAGCAGACAGGACTGGAGCACCTAGCAACTGTAAACAGTGTGGTGCTGAGATTACAGTGTTATTTGCTAAGACACATTTCTTGAAAGGTGCTCTTTTTCTCTAAACTGTGAACACAAAACCCAATTTTCAAGCTAAATCCACAAAACCTCAGACTCTTCTTGCAAAACCAAACTTTCACCTCAAAACTGTTCAATCTGTGCTTAGAACTGAACCTTGTTGTCAAATTGTGGCCCGAGTCGATCCAAATTAGAACGCTACTGAACAGTCACTAAACACTATGTAGAAAAATAGAAAACACAATGCTCAGGACAAGAAGCTGAAAAAATAATTGTTTATTGTTTGCTGTAAGCAAAATGAATGTTACAAAACAAAAATAAAACATTCATTCAGCACTTGTACAAAAATACAAACAATAATCTGGAGCATTTACATGTAGCACTTGTAAAAACTGAAATCTTATTCGTTTGCCACTTGTGTACAGTAATCCCATGAAGTACAAAAGTATACAAATACTACGTAAGTGCATTACTCAGCCACAGCATCGTGTCTCCATACTGGGTTAGGCCACAGAACTTCATCCACATCACAGGCCACATTTTGTCTGGCCAGGCAACGGGGGAAAACCCCTGGCATGACTCAACACCTATGTCACCACAGCCAAGTTCCATGGCTTGCAGGAGATTTACCCTGGTGTAAGGCTGGCGTTCATATACCTTCCACCGCCATGAGGAGAAGAACTCCACAATAGGAAAGGGGAATATGGTGGAAGGCAAATGGTGATAAAGCCTTGGTTCATATTGAATCAGTGCTTCCTCTTGTTCTTCAATAAAATAGGCAGGATGGATGCCCATAGGGCGTATTGCTGCCACACCAGCCAACACGCCAAGACAGCACAACCCACTGCACACTACAGGTACACGAAGCATCCCACCTCGTGTTCCCACAGAACCACCATCAACAAACCTACCACCAGCGCACACCCCAGTGAAAACACACAAACCCTACACAGAGGCTCACCCCACACTCACATTCCCACCCCCACCATCAACACCCTCCACCAAGGGCATCCCACAATCCACAGCAGCCTGAACCTTCCCCACCTCCACCGCCACCCTATACGCCACACAACCCCTATAAGCCGCATGATGGTTCCCGTCACAGTTACAACACTGGAACGGTATATCACCCCCGCACCTCCGACAACGCACCCCCACCATGCAGGCACCGGCCAAATGACCATTGCCCTGACACCTAAAACACCTAAAAGGAGGTTCCTCATACGCCCTCATCGTGAAACTAAGGAAACCCAACCGGGCACGAGCGGAGAGCTCCACCACGTTGAAAGTAATCAGCAGCAGAGTGGACCCACACGCGTTAAACCCCAGACACCGAACAGCCACCCCCGCCGCCCCACCCAAGGAACCAAACACCTCAGACTCGTTGGAAATGCCGTACACCAAACCCTTAACTATACAACCAGACCTCGACTCAGAAACCACAATGTCCAACCCCAGAATAATCTCAAGCCGCAGCGCTTTGAGGTACTGGGACTTAGTCCGGCACACCACCACCAACAGCCCACTGAACACCACGGTAGCATCTAACACACCCCTAACATGGCACTCAGCTCCTGGGACACCGCCAATGGGTTAAAGTTAGCAAAACGCGCACCACCTACCGCCCTGATACGTACCACAAAGCCACCCTCCTCAAGCCTCTGGTGCTTTAGCTGCGCATCCCAGTCACAATCTGACACGTCACTGCCACTGTCCATCTTTGCTGCCTCCAACGACTGAATCACCGCTCCAGCCCTACTCACCCCCTTCCTCCCCATTGTCCGCAAAAAGCAAGGCTGAACTGAAGCAAAGCCGGGCCGCTGTCTTACCGGGCCTGTACAGGCCGTCGGCCAACCACCAAAACAACCCTCAAAGTCAACCCAAACTGTTGCACCTGCGCCCGACCCGGTCACAAATTCAGATTTATCACTCTGTAATGGCGCGATGGTCTGTCTTATAAAAGAGGCTGTTGTGCTGATAAGGTGCAGGAAGGTGTGACCTGGAGTGAAACTGCTTAGGAATAAGATCCAAAGCTGCATCATAGGTGCTGGAAAGGTGAAATCTAAGCCCCTCCCCTATTTAAAGTAGGTTTTTCACATTAAACATAGATAGCTTCAACTCCTCTCTCAAACCATCTATCTTCTCTGTCCAGAATGTGGACTTTGTCATCTTCAAAGGCGTGTCCCTTGTCCTTCAGGTGTAGGTGGACAGCAGAGTTCTGACCAGAAGAGGTGGCTCTCCTGTGTTGTGCCATGCTCTTGTGTAATTGTTGTTTGGTTTCCCCGATGTAAACATCTGGACAGTCCTCACTACACTGGACTGCATGAACGATGCCACTGAACTTCTGTTTGGGTGTTTTGTCTTTGAAGGACCAGTTTCTGTCTGAAGGTGTTGTTGGATTTAAAGTTTACTGGGATGTTATCTTTGGAGAAGATTCTTCTGTTTCTCTGAGACTCCTGCCACGTATGGGATGATGGCGCCTTTGTGCCTGTTGTCCTTTTCTTTGCTAGTTGCTGCTTTGGATGCTTTTCCAGACTTCTTTGTAGATTTCACAAAGGCCAGTTAGGGTATCTGCAGTTTTGGAGTGCTTGATTTGTTTTTCTTTCTTTTTTTTTGTTGTTGTTGTTGTTGTCCTTCAGTCTTTGTGGGAATGTTCTCAGCCCAATGGTGTAAAGTCCTGATCACTGACATTTTGTACTCCAGTGGGTGATGTGAGTCCAAATGCAAATACTGGTCTGTGTGAGTTGGTTTCCTGTAGACTTCAATGCTGAGACTTCCATCTTGTTCAGTTTGCACAGCACAGACCAAGATGGGCAGTTTGTTGTTGTGGGCATCTTCCCTGGTTAACTTGATGTTCTTGTCCATGGCATTAAGGTGCTTGGTAAGGTCTTCTACTTCCTTTGTGAGAATTTTGACCAAGGTGTCATCCACATACCTGAACCAGTGGCTTGGAGTTGATCCATTGTAGGAGTTCAATGCTCCGGTTTCCACTTCCTCCATGTAAATGTTGGCAATGATAGGTGATATTGGGGAGCCCATGGTGCATCCATGTTTCTGCTGGTAAAACTTGTCGTTGTGTTTGAAGCAGGTGGTAGAAAGGCAGAGGTCCAGGAGAGCACAGATCTGGTCTGGAGTCAGTTTGGTCCTCTTGTTTAAGGAATCATCTTGTTCCAACCGTTTCCTAACTGCTTCATCTGTGGGTATACATGTGAAGAGTCAACAGTTTCCCGTGGGGCCAGTTTGAGATCTTGAACTTTCTTTGCAAAATCCACAGAATTCTGTATGTGATGTTGGGTCTTTCCAACCAGCAGAGCCAGGATGGTGGAGAGATGTTTTGCAATGTTGTATGTGACCGAGTTGATGCTGCTGCTGATGGGTCTGAGTGGTGTTCCTTCCTTGTGAATCTTCATAAGACCACATATACATGAGGTGGCTTCTCCTGGATAGAGTCTGTAGTAAAATATGCGGCCGATTACTTTGTCCTTTAGCATTTTCTGTAAATGGTCCATGATTTTCTTCTTGTATCCTGTTGTCGGGTCCCTCTTTAGAGCTTCATACATGGCGCTGTCGCTCAAAAGTGTGGTGACTTTGTTGTGGAAATCTGTTGTATTTAGAATAACCGAAAGTCCCTTGTCTGCAGGTAAAGATGTGATGTTCTGGTCCTTCACCCACATATTTAATATTTTTATTACCTCACAATGCCCCAAATTAATTGAAGCACAAAAACATATTTTTTTCCATAAATGTTTTTGTGGTCTGGAAGTTAATGGGTGAATATTAGCTAACAGAAGTCTACAATTGAGGGATTTTGACTATTGACAAACCTGGAGTGACACAAGCAAGATGTCCCACTCATCTCGCCAAATGTCATCAACAGAAACAATCCCAGACACCGTGGTGAGAAGTGTCGCCAACACTCCGATCTGTGGAGGCAAGAGAAAATAATGAACCCACTCAGACCTTCTGTAGCCAGCAGGGTCTAACTCCTTTAGAGAAAATTGCTCAGCACCTTGTGAACCCAGTAGAGATTGAGCTGCTGACCCAAAGAAATATGGAAAAGGGCTAAAATCTGAAAAAGGAGTGAGAACCTGTGAGCTTTAGCTCTACTGAGCAGTATTAGTCATCAAAAGTTCTGGATCCCTTACCAGTAAGAAGGTGATGTAGGTGAATCCAACAGTGGTGGATGTGAGGATGGGAATCGTCTCATCTTTCCACTCACCTGAACGGTTGTAAATCGACCTGATGCATGAGCAAAACATACCTGAGTCATCACATGATCCTTTTATTCATCATGGTAAAAAACTCCATTTATGGAGCCCTCATTTAGTCTTATCACCACTTCACCGGGTGCACGTTAATAGGCAAGGCATCTTTATTTATATAGTAATTCCATACACAGAAGCAATTCAGTGTGCTTATAAATGGCATTCACGCACACACACACACACACAAGCACACACACAAACACACCTAATTAACACAATGGAGGGAGGAATGGGAAACTGGGATCAAACCTCCAACCATGCTCCTGGCCGGTGACAGCTATTGTGTTCAGAGGTGGTATTACAACAACTGGACTAATTTTTCAGCCATTGGAATGTTGGTTCACTGCTGACACATTTTTGACCATGTTTTAAGACAAATCGTACAGGATAAGGACTCATTAAATTAAATTAAATTAAATTAAATTAAATTAAATTAAATTAAATTAAATTTAGAACATCTTCTGGGCTCAGAATGAGCTGCTTCACCTGTCAAGTCCGCTATTTGACACAGTCCCAGCCTCACCTTGCTGAGCAAAATGTTTTAGCGCAACAGGGTTCTCTAGTTGCTGGTAGATGTAAACATAAGCCCAGTGCCTTGCCCGACAAAAGAAAAATTAAGATTTTTTTTTAATATAGCTTATAAAGGAGAAACTGTACATTCATTCTGCACACTCCCAAACGCCCCGTGGAGGTTTTTCTTTTTTTTAATATAGCTTTTTTTTTTTATGTTCCATGTTCTAACATTAACCAGCACTGGTGACAAGTTCCTTCCATTCAAAACAATATTTATTACTAGGGCTGCAACATACAATTATTTGGATCATTGATGTATCAGATGGGGTCTCGACTCGATTAATCAGACTAAACAGGAAAATTTAAAAACTGCTAGGGAAACAAAGTTTCTCTTCTTACTTCCCTTAATTTAACAACAAAACATGATTACAAAACAGTTTAGTAGTGTGCAAAACAACATGCTATCACCTAATTATATCTATAGTTAAACTATGACCTGTACAGTTTTATGTATTTCATTAACATTTTCAGCAGTAAGCTACTGGAAATTCTAATAACATTTAATTTCCATCCATCTATTGTCTTCCGCTTATCCGGAGTCGGGTTGCAGGGGCAGCAGTCTAAGTCGAGAGGCCCAGACTTCCCCCTCCCCAGCCACTTGGGCCAGCTCTTCTGGGGGAATCCCAAGTCTTTCCCTGGCCAGGTGAGAGGCATAGTCTCTACAACGTGTTCTGGGTCTCCCTTAAGTCTCCTCCCAGTTAGACGTGCCAAGAAAACCTCACCAGGGAGGCGTCCACAAGGCATCCTAATCAGATGTCCAAGCCACCTCAACTGGCTTTTCTCGACATGGAGAAGCAGCGGGTCTACTCCCAGCCTCCCAACCTTCTCCATGAGCCACTGGAAAGTGGCTCCGGCGTTCCTTAGCCCAAAAGGCATACACCGAAACTGGTAGAGGACCCCAGGTGTTATGACTGCTGTCTTGGGTTTCCTCTCTTCAGGCATGGCAACCTGCCAGTATCCCGACTTCATGTCAAGGGTGCTGAAGAATGTTGCCCCGTGCATAGATTCCAACAATTCATAGATCAAAAGCATGGGATAAGCATCAGGTAGTGTCTTGGCATTAAGTCGTCTGAAGTCTACACAGAATCAGATCGACCCATCAGGTTTATTGACCAATACCACAGGTGCCCCCCAGGCGGACTGTGAGGGTTCAATGATTACACTCTTGAGCATTTGCTCAATCTGGTCTGCGATGATCTTCTGCCTAAAAGGAGAAGTCCTGTATGCCTTGCAATGAACTGGCATCTCATTGACGGTGAGGATCTTCTGTTCTTCCACACTGGTTCTACCCAGAGCACCTGAACACACCGCCGGCCAAGCTTTAAGCAGGTTTCTGACCTCAGGTAGGTGATCTGTAAAGGCTGGGGCTCCCTCTCCTATCAGATACAACGAGCACGCTGAACCAACAGAAGGGATGGCCACATACAGACTGGCACTGGAGAGGGTCCGGGGCTCATCCTGGCAAAACCCTCCTCTGCATGCTGGGGTAAAAAGTGATGGAAGGTATATCCTTTCGGACCTTTGCGGCCGCTAGCAAAAAATAGGAAATAAGTGGTATACCACAAAAAAAAAGAAAAAAAGGTCAATCTCACCGGGTTCAGCAGTCATTGACCCAGTACATCCACCGATCTGGCTCCGCTGATCGGCGGTGAGGCAGGTGATCTGGGGTGGTTCCTCTCATTCAGCTGGAGAGCGCAGATATCCAGGCATGCTCCAGTGCGGGATCGTCGGGGCTTCTCTCTGGCTTAAACCCCTAATCTTATTTGTTATTATTATTTTTTAACAGTCACCCATAGACCTACTGAGTTTTCCCACTCAGTTACGTGGTAGACCTTTAGTTCGATATCTAATCAGGCTACAGCAGATCCACGCTGACACCTGCACCACACCCATCCATGCTCAGTTTTTTTTCTTCTCCCTCCACACCTGACGCAGCCCTCTCTTAATAGCTCGGGTGTGGTAAACAACACAAATACACTGATAAATAAATGAACAACCCCGACTCACCCAATTACATACAGTGGAAAAGAAAATCACAGTGGCACAGTTTTACAATCATATTCTGGTAATTGTTTAGACCATTTTCTCATATCCTCTGTGCAACTAATATTAAATATTTTCTTTTATTTTAACACTGATCTAATGTAGCGATGCCAAAACACCTCTCCAGGTCTTACATGAGCGTTATAGTCCTCTAGCCCTCAGGCTTCACTTTAATTGTTATACAAAAAAGTCATTAGAGGACAAAAATGTCTGCTGGTAAAAGTGGCTATAAAAAATGTATACATGAAAAAAAAATTCGGCTCAACACCCCTCCCCAGCTCTCAACCCTCTGCCACTAGTAAGTCTGGGAACTTCACATTCTGCCCTCTGCCATACAAGGACACATCTCTGCTCTCCCCCCTAGACGCAGTTCTCGGTTTTATTCTCCCTCATTGGGTGTACCAGTGCGCCCTCAGTTCGCGTTGTATTAATAACATTTTCTTCTTATTGTACTTACCTGTTGCAGCGTGTTGAGAGCCCTTCCCCAACCATGACAGAGTGTGATGATGACTCATGGAACTTTACCTTTAACAGCCTCACTCAGATAAGATCTCTGTCTTTTCTAACTTGTCTATTATAAGCAACTACTTTCTTATAATCCCATTTACGTAATGACAGAAAATGCACTCACCAGTTGAAGTCGTTGAAATCATTTTGAGCCACTAACCAGAAGTAGGTCCAAACGAGAAGCAGAAGGAAAGAGCTGCACACGATGATGAACCAGCCACACTCCCACTGTAGAGAAAAACAAATGTGGTAAATGGTCATGAAAAAATGAATTTACAGTTAAAACTGCCCGCCCAGGTTTTCGTCATGTTTTAGTTCTAATGTACCCATTCAGTAACAATGGCCAAAACACCATTCATGATGAAGACAGTCACTCTAATCCAGATTACAACAGCCCTGTGAGAACACTGAAAGTTATTACTTCATCACGTTGTTCAGTTGTCAGGTTTGACCGTTTTTTTCCCCCATTCTCCTGTTTGTTGTGTACCAAAAGAACAGAGGCGATCCTGTGCTGTGTTCAAGGACTCTTCCCTTCAGCAGTTAACAGGATTAAAACTAATGCCACATGGTGGGGAGGGGTACAGAATGATCCACTTCCTCCTCAGAGCTGAACAGCTTTCATACTCTTTTGTACATTTTTTCTGCGTGTAATTTCATAATCCATTACTTTGTTCTGTTTTTACGCAGAGCAGTAAAAAATTGTTTACCTTGAAGCTGACATGTTTCGGCTAGTGGCGCTAGCCTTCATCAGAGCTCGCCGGTGTTGGTGGAATCACTTCCACTTATCCACGGGCAGTAGAGGGTGACATTGTCCTCTGCTGCCTGCAGATAAATGGAAGTGATGCCACCAACAACCATATTCTTGAGCCTTTAGATGTCTCTCAGTCTGAACTGAATTACTGACATAAATGGACTTTTGCACCATTTTCTTATTTTTCCTGTTTCACCTGTATGGGGACCAGATCAACCTGTAACACAACTCACATGAACAAAGCTCTTAACACTGTTTAAAAGCTATTTCGCACTTTTCATTTGAGAAAGATTCAGTAATGAAATGCTAAAATAAAATAAAAATCTTTGTTTGAACCTAATAGGATGCCTGATGTAAAATTTGAAAAAGTCCACAGCGTGTCTTCAAATAGATAAGAAGGGATGAGAATTCCAGTCTCACAGAGGAGATGGAAACTCCTAAGTATAGCTGTGACCGACAGCTGGCTGATTAAAGACTGATGAGGACAATCCTGACACATATTCTGTTACAGGGTCTTCAGGCAGAGCTGGTATTTGTTTTTTGGAGCTGGAACAATCTCAAACATAAAAGGGCAGCCATTGCCGAACATGGAGATAATCAAGTTTCATTGTTTTTCTGTTCTTATCTCATACACAGAGTAACAAAGTTTCTGTTTTTATCTTAATTTGCTAAATTTCGGCTTCTCACAGTCACCTTTGTCAGAGCTTCACTGATGAAGTGGTAATTGCAAATTGTTGTTTTTGTCATGAATATTTTTTATAAAAATTAATTAAAACTAAAAACCGGGTCTAAAATACATGGTAGAGGCTCTAAGTCTCTGAGCAATGCCATGTTAGATGCCATGTTTCCTTCTACAGGAGCCCATGAGGTCAAAAATAATTTACTGTTTTGTAACAACGGTTTTCACCATTCAGAAACATTGTTGTTTTACACATTTACCTCTTCACTCATTGCCAGTGATGAAAGGGACTCTGATGTGCTTGTCATTTTGCTAGAGGTGAACAATTTGACGAGGTACCCGTTCGAAAATAGCATTTTCTTACCCTAATGGCATCAGTTGGTAAGGTCTTACTTGAACACAAAAATACTGCTTGCTTGCAATGATTTGGGTATATACTGGCCTCTATTGGCAGGGAAAATACACACCGTCACCTTAAAAAGACTAAACGGTAAACAAGATAACCACATGACAAAGTCAGTCATTCATTCAACGGCTTCAACTTACCCAGAATGCGTCTGCTCCCTTGTTAACACAAACAGGACGTAGGGAGCACATCACTCCAGTGCTGGAGTCCCTGCACTGACTTCCTGTATTTTAAACAGCTGTTGTTCCTTTTTAAGTTGCTAAATGGTTCTGCCCCTTATATATCTTAGCTTTTAGAAATTCCTGCCCCTCCAAGAGCCTTGAGATTTGGTTCTCAGAATCTTCTGTTGGTCCCTAGAACTAAGCTGAAGTCTTGTGGTGATTAGGCTTTTTCTGTGGCGGGCTGCAGGCTGTGGAACAGACTTCCTGCAAATACTAGGGATGCTCAGACATTTTAAAACTTTGTTAAAGACACATTTTTATGATCTGGCTTTTAATTAGAAACAAATCAATTATTTACTACCTCTTTTAACTTTGTTTTTGCATCATTTAAAATTATTTATAATGACCAATTTTTAGGAACTGGCAATCAATGATTGTCCTAAACATTTGATCTCACTTACTTTAACTGAATCTAGTTGCTCTGTTTTATTTCATTTTCTTTTTTGTATTGTGATCGGTTTCTCGTGTTGTGAAGCACTTTGGACAGCGAAAGCTGTTGTGCTATGCATATAAATTTTACCTTGACCTTGGAGCAAGATTCTTTTTATTCATAAACATAAAAATACTGCATCAAAAGGCAATATTTAGGTAAAAATGTGTCAAGATTCACTGCTGTAGTGATGTTTTTGGTGACTGAGCATGTGACAAATAAATCTTTTGAATCTGCTCTTCACAGAAGTTGTCCATGACTTCTCAGCCCTACGTGGAAGCAGTGGTCTGCTCTGTAGACATCTTGCTGGTTCCAAGCCCGGCTGGTCAGTCATGCACATAACTTGCTTAATTTTTGGAACATACAGACATGAACATGTAGTAATGTGTTCCATTAAACAAAGTCTCACTGCACCCGTTTTTATTTTTAAACTAATTTGTGAAGGAGTAACAATCTTTGTGTTCCCCATTGGACCTGTGGTTCAACAACTGTTCTCCCTCTCCATAAGCATGAGTTCACATTTATTACAAGAACATCTGAGGAATGAAAACATAAGGTCACACATTACTGCAGATAAATTATTCCTACTTACGCATCACATTCTGCACAGAAGTTTGTATCTAACCATTTTAGCTGCAATGGCTGATTTACGTCAAAATGAATTAAAAACTGCAACTTTGGTGTTAATTAACTGGCGGGGTGGCGGCAGTTAGGGTAGATTAGTACTGGCTACAGAAAGCTGTTATGTTTGCAGAGTTATTCCAGGAAGTAAACAACAATGTTTATTGAAACATGCAGTAGCGCTGTAAAATACGTGTGGAACATGCTGGTAAAATACTGTTTCTATGACAAAATATACAAACTTCATCTAGCATCTACATGGGTGCATGATGTTGGTAACTAACACTAATACATAACTACTTGACAAAACTTACTAGTACTTCTGCATTGGGGATAAAACATAAAAACCATGAGTCCTGTCTACAAAGATGTACGTAAGGGCCAGCACAGGACATTTGTCTTGGGCAGCTATTGTTTTGTGACGGACTCCGTGGTCCAGTTGTTAGAGTACATCCTGAAATGTAGGCCAGCAAGGTAAAGAAAACCCTTTCCTGTGTTTTAAAAAGAACCAAAAATGGAATAAGAACTTTTATTTTTCATATTTTTGGCCTTTATTAAGGTGGAGAACATTCGTTTAGTGCAGACACATTTTTAGAGAATAAAGAACCCCTTTTATTTGAAGTAGTGTGTGCTCCTTCGACCCAGCTTCATTAAAAAATGAAATCTGCTTCAGCTGTATAAATAAATTACTGCCGACACTGAAAGTCAAACCCGCGTCAGGACATGGCAACATTAGATGAAAGGCAATAGCTTTCACCACGGGACTTCCAAGGCCAAAACATCAGCAGACCTGGCTAAGACGCTGTTGTAGGTGCATTTTTGTCGGAATTTGCGTGGCCGGAGCTTCACTAAAACGTTTCATTTCCAGGTATATATTCAGGCTGACATAAATAACACATATTTAAGATAAATGACATCTCAATAGAGCTCCGGGAGTTGACATCACGTTTCCCGGCATGCAACAGTTCAAATCGAAACGGCGCCATTTGGCAGGCAGAAGCTGGCAGCTGGACTATTTGTTATTGTCAGAAAACTCAATCAAACGGGAAATATGGTAGATTCCTGTTGTGCCCCAGGATGTAGAACAGACGCGGATGACATAAGGAATGAGCCATCTACAGGATTCCCCAAGATCCGGAACGCCGCAAACGTTGGATCATTGTAATAAAACACGCTAGTGACCGGGCTAAAATGAAACTGTGGGATCCCGAGAGTAAAGGTTTTCACTTATGCAGTGACCGCTTCATATCAGGTACTTAAACCAACGTTTCCTCAACTGTGTATGGTGTTTATTTTAAATGCTTTTATTACGATTCTAGTGGGCTTCCTAAACTTATTTTGGCGTGGCTTTTTCTGTCTTATTACTCATAGAAACATGTAAACATCACGTAAAACTTTGCCTTGTGATTTCTGCGTGCTGCCGTTTACGTGTTTTATGATCACAGCAATTAACCGGCTAAGCTGTATTTAATTTTTAAGCAATTGTTGATCAATTGTCAGATCACACATAAAAAGCACTTTGGATTGCTATTATCTGTCTCACCGAGACAGATCTCAGACAGATCCTGAGACGCTCCTGCCTGACATATTTATTTTATTCACAAAAAATAAATGAAACTAGTGATTTCTCTTGGTGTTCAGTTTATACATTCAAACAGCACAGCACTCTATTTAAACTACTTACGTGTAAATCTGTTATTTGTCCATCCATCCATCCATTTTCATCCGCTTATCCGGAGTCGGGTTGCGGGGGCAGTAGCGTCGAGAGGCCCTGACTTCCCTCTCCCCAGCCGCCGGAGCCAGCTCCTCCGGGTAAATCCCAAGGGGTTCCCCGGCCAGGTCCAGTAAGAAGTCCGCTCCGACAGCTTCTGGCGTCGGAGCGGGCAGTAGCGTCGAGAGTCCCAGACCTCTCCCTAGCTCCTCCGGCCGGGGGAATCCCAAGGGGTTCCCCGGCCAGGTCCGGTGTAGTCCGCTCCGACAGCTTCTGGCGTTTTTAAAAAGTATCCGAGGGGCACGGTAAGGGTTGGAGATGTTTAGTCTATTTCATTTCTGACTATATAAAATGATTTCTTCGGTTTTAAAGTGTGAAGTAAACTCCGACGAAGTAAAATCCAAGTGGATCCCGTTCACGTTCATGGTTACATCTGTGTTTGTTTACCTTTTTTTCCTGCCAAAATGGCGTCTACTAACTGAGAGTCACGTGGGGTCCGGAGCTCTATAGTGCCAATGGTAATATTTTATCATATAGTGTGCCTACCTTTGCTCTCAAATTAGTAAGACGTGGCTCCTTTAATGCAAGAATAGTAAATAAACCAAGACAGTTTCCATCAGAGAACAATGTCTCCCCAGGAAAGACAGAGGCATCTACTCCTCATCCTATCTTATCTATCACATGCTGCAACATCCATCTTTTACCATTCTTCAAGAAGAACCTCTTTTAGAGCCTGGATGCTGGATGGAGAGCGATGCTCAACTTGCTGCTGCCGGTGATGGATTGGGTTCAGCTCAGGAGACATTCTTGGACATTCAATCACGTTCACCTTGTTCTTCTTCAGAAATGCAACGGTAGCTTTAGATGTGTGTTCTGGATCATTGTCGTGTTGGAAAAGTGCACAATGACCAAGAGCACGGAGTGATGGCAGCATCTTCTCCTTCAGGATAGAGCAGTACGTTGTTCATGATACCATCAGTGAAATGCAGCTCCCCAACACCAGCAGCACTCATGCTGCCACATGAGGACACTGCCACCACCATGTTTCACTGCAGGCACCTTGCTTTTCTCTTTGAAATCCTCACCTAGAGTCCCAGTAGCCTTCATCTCTTCCAGCATGGGCCCTAGTTAATCCTTTGCATGCTTTTATGTGCATGTTCTTTAGGAGAGGCTTCCTGTGTGGAAGATACCCATGCATGCCGTTCTTCTGCAGTGTGCGCCATATGGTGTCATGGAAAACGGTCACTCCAGTTTGGCTTTCCTCTGCTTTAGCTAACTGCAGTTACTTGCATTAGCATTTTATTCAACCCTTCTCATCAGAAGACGCTCCTGTCCAGATGTTAACTTCCGTGGACAGCCTGGACGTCTCTGTGAGATGGTTGCACTTCCTTCTTTCTTAAATTTTTGGATCACTTTTGCCACAGTATTTTGACTGATGTGTAAAGCTTTGCTGATCTTCCTGTAGCCCTCACCTTTTTTGTGGAAAGTCATTATTTCCTTTCCCAGACATTCCTCTTCTGCGTGGAGCCGTTGCTGACAGCATGAAAAGGGAAGGTATTTTCTTTGTTAAGTAATTCCCTTTTATAGTCACCTGTCTGCTGGATACCTCGTCACTAGACTCACCTGTGGTTGAATATCTGTTCATTTGAATTTTGCAGTGTAAGTGTGGTTTTCCTCCTAAGACTGTAATTGGGGTGTACTCATTCGTGCAATGTGGGCTTGAATGCATTTGTTAGGAAAACCACTTTTTTGTGTGTGCAAATGAACAAATCTTTTTTCCAATCAATGGCCCACATTTGTGGGAGTATTTTGTAGCATGGTATCTCATAGAAAATGTTGATTCTGAAGGGAAACTAAATGTTTTCTTACAAATGTAGTGGGGTGTACTCATTTCTGCTGAGCACTGTACTTCTGGCTCTCCTGCTCCAAACACATCTGACCAAAAAAGAAACACTTCTCCTGCGCTTTGTAAAGGCACATTCTGGAAGCCTGAGCAGCCAACTCCAGCCCTCTTTATGGGAAGCATTGGGTCTGGGAACTCTTCTATTCTAATAACCCACCTCCTGAGAATTCTGACCAAGCCAATCAGCGCTGAGCAGCGTACGTCACACACCAAAATGCTCTTTTTTGAACGACTTGAATGTCTTTAAAACCACAACAAGTAGAAGTGCAAAAAGCCTTTCTTCAAAAAAAAATAATAATAAAAAGATGTTTGCGCTGTTGCCAGACACCATTTTTGACTACAGCTAAAAAACTACAGCAGTACAGTCGGCATTTCTGCCTTTTTGTGATTGGTTTTTTGAGCTGGCTAGTCCCGCCTCTCATGTGCCTCTCTGCCTGTGAGCAATCAGGCTAGTTTTCTGTGTAGAATTAAAGAGAGGTCTTATCTCACAGGCAAGGCTAACATTCTGGTGTACTTGAAGGTTTCTCTGCAAAATGAAACTAAACCAGGAAAAGGCATGGGAACTGGTGTGGTCTACTGTAGTCCATCTAGACCCAAATTCTGATCTTCAGAGATGATTCTACAGCCCCTGGTTGGAACCAGTGCTTATTTGAACTTCTGTTGTCTACCATCTAAAACCAGTCAGTCCATTCTCCTTTGTCAGGAGTAGCATAATCTTTTTCAAACCATTCTCTGTAAATTCTAGAAATGGTTGGGGGTTCAAATCCCAGGAGTTAAGCAGGCCCAAAAATGCACTCTCCCTCTCTAAAAGCTTCTTTCTTGCTGCCATCTGTTTGGTTGGCTACATACCTCTGTAAAAAGATAGGTGTATCTAATAAAGTGGTGGGTGAGTGTATGTATCTGTGCCGATGTACAATATCCAATAAACTGGATATCAGTTTTTAATATAAACAAAAATAGCCCAACAGTACCACAGGGATCAACACCTTAGACTAGTACCATTACTAGTACGGCTGTTCTTTAGTTTAAATAGCACACACAGCATTTATTTGGGTATAACATCTGTATTTCATAGCGAGATCTAATAATCTTACCTTGGAGCTGTTGTCTTGGGAACGCTGGTAGCGTTTCCAGCGACAACCATAGATCCCCGTGACAACAGACAGAAGGACCTGCTTCTCATAGACCTGTAAGGGTTGGTGCTTCACCATCCTCCTGCAGCCTCAAGCACCACCAGTCTGTTAACATGCCACACACCACCGGGATCTCTGAACAAAACAGAAGGGATATTTAAAAAAAAACATGTCTGCACAGGTTACAGTTACTTATTATGTTTGTGACTTTACTTAACTACACTCTCAAAAACAAGTCAACACATCACCCAATAGAGACTCTTTTCTGAGACAGTGATAATGATATGCTGCGTGTTGACTAGTCACCGAGTCAGTCTATCGGAGGACTTATAGTGGTGGAGAAAGGTTATCAGGTGTCAGAAAACCAGGATTACGTCACAGTCAGGTAAAAATGTTTTGGGTGAAACTATAAAGCAGTTTATGGCTCCACAGAGACGACATTGTGGTTTCAGCTTTTCTTAGAAAATCTACTTTGTGAGCACACGAAAAGTCACATTTTGTAAGTGGTTGCTTTTACTAAATTGTCAATAAAATATAAAGGTATTCAATAAAATGTAATATTCCATAAAAATATGGATTATCAACATAATTGAATACCTTTACACTATTGACAATTTCTTAAAAGTAGCCACTAACAAAATGTTACGTAATGGCGAGCCAGCAAGGAGACATCATCATAACAAAGCTGTTTCTAACTTTAATAAACAATTTTATTTTGTCTCATAAAACTATGTCTGCACTTTACAGGTTAATTACAATGACATTAAATAATGAATGTTTTGTCTAAGGTGCTTTGAATAATGTCTTGATTGCTTTACAGATATGAAAGAATTAACATAACTGTCTATTCTTGAGATGCCTTAGTACAGATCTTAAACTCACCAAACGAGTTTACTTGATGATTTAATAATGATTTATTATCAGTTACATCACATATTAATGTCAGTACATTAACAAATGACTGTTACATAGGGCTGAACGATCTATCGCAGTGGTCCTCAACAGGCGTCCTGCGGGCCCCCTCGTTGTGGCCCTCGAACCCCGCACGCACCCTAACCCCTCTTGCTTCTGGGTATTTTTTATGAGTAGCCCTCAGATCATTATAATTGAGGACCCCTGATCTATCGTCTTTCGACTGAAACTGTGATTTCAAAAAACGTCATCATGTGATTGTCAAAGCTGTGGTTTTTGTAGCGCTCCTGACTGACCCAGGATTTGTTGACAACTGTTTTACGAATCCAGGTTTTCTCATGTTTTACGGAGGCAGCAGAGAGCACGGGGAAGAGGGAGGGGGATACTGGTACTGAAGCTGAGCCCAGCTAGAGCAACACATTTTCGTTATCTTCCCGTTGTTTTCCTTAACCCTAACCCTCTACTACAGCTGATATTAAATGTGAGCGTCTGTCTCTGCCGCAAACATTTGGTACATCTCTCAGCACTGTGGGTGAGTGACAGAGAGAGAAAGGCTGATTCTCCAGCAGCTGAATGGGATTTACAGTATGTTAAACTTTCATCTTTTCAAAACCACTGTTTGTGAAAACATGCCAGACAGTCGGACATTAACAACATGTTTTAATATTGTCAGACGAAAAACATTAAGTCCTCGGACATATTGACCAACCTGCATCCTCTCTTAAGTTGCCAAAATAAAATACATTTCCTGAAAACCACAAACTACAGACTGTTTGAAAGTTTGCATGAGTTCTTGACACGGTCTCTGATCTGCAGCAGCCTGCAGGTCAGGAGCACTTCTTCTGAGCATGTAATTGATCTGCACACCAGACGCTTTCAGCAGCTGTTTTATATTGAAAGATAACCAAAGATTATTTCTTATTATTGTAACAAATGTGCAGAACAATTGTTCTGTGTCCCTGTTGTCCCCAGCCCCTTCCAGGATTCCCCCTAGTCACTTCTACTTCATATTTAGTTGTCCCATCTCATTCATTAAGTCTTCCCAGTAGTAGGTTCCCTCCTCTTGGTTCTTGTCTCTTAGGTTGCCCCAGTTAAATATCTTGTGTCCCTAGTGTCATGTTTATTAGTTCTCTTATCTTTAGTCTTCTGTTTGTAAATAATATTTAGATGAGTTTTCCCCTTTAGTAATTTAGGTACGTCCCCACTCGGTTCATTACTTTTACCTGCCCACACATCTGAGACCTATTTCCTTAAACCCGGTCCTGTCCTCTTGTCTTGTCTTTGTTGGGTCATTGTCTGTTGTCGGTGTTTGCCTCCTGTGCTCTTCAGTTTTCTCTGTCAGTTTGGATCTCTAGTTTTACTCCTACTGTTATGCTAGTCATTTTTAAGTTTATGCTCCTTTTTGACCTGCTCAGCTCCTTTTCAACAACGGATTCTCATTTTTTGTCGTTCTGGGTTCTTGCGCATTGGGCCCATGCAACCTCCTCTACCGTGACTTCGTTGTGGATTGAAATGTTCTTTGGCGCCCCTGCTTTCCAGGGCAGCTGAGGCTACATTGTGGCTCATGGTGCTTGCTCAGATGAATGACTTGTGTTGTAAAGCGCTTTGGGGGGGTTTTAGGCCTGTGGAAGATGCTATATACAGGTGCTGGCCAGTAAATTAGAATATCATCAAAAGGTTGAAAATATTTCAGTAATTCCATTCAAAACGTGAAACTTGTACATTATATTCATGCAATGCACACAGACCAATGTATTTCCGATGTTTATTACGTTTAATTTTGATATTTATAGGTGACAACCAATGAAAACATCAAATCTGGTATCTCAGAAAATTAGAATATTCTAAAGGCCAATGAAAAAATGTTTGTTTCTCTAATGTTGGCCAACTGAAAAGAATGAACATGAAAAGAATGTGCATGTATAGCACTCAATACTTAGTCGGGGCTCCTTTTGCCTCAATAACTGCAGTAATGCGGCGTGGCATGGACTCGATCAGTCTGTGGCACTGCTCAGGTGTTATGAGAGCCCAGGTTGCTCTGATAGTCGTCTTCAGCTCCTCTGCATTGTTGGGTCTAGCGTATTGCATCCTCCGCTTCACAATACCCCATAGATTTTCTATGGGGTTAAGGTCAGGCGAGTTTGCTGGCCAATCAAGGACAGGGATACCATGGTCCTTGAACCAGGTGCTGGTGGTTTTGGCACTGTGTGCAGGTGCCAAGTCCTGTTGAAAGGTGAAGTCTGCATCCCCATAAAGTTGGTCAGCAGCAGGAAGCATGAAGTGCTCTAAAACTTCCTGGTAGACGGCTGCATTGACCCTGGACCTCAGGAAACAGAGTGGGCCAACACCGGCAGATGACATGGCACCCCACACCATCACTGACGGTGGAAACTTTACACTGGACCTCATGCAACGTGGATTCTGTGCTTCTCCGCTCTTCCTCCAGACTCTGGGTCCTTGATTTCCAAAGGAAATGCAGAACTTGCTTTCATCAGAAAACATAACTTTGGACCACTCAGCATCAGTCCAGTCCTTTTTGTCCTTGGCCCAGGCGAGACGCTTCTTGCGCTGTTTCATGTTCAAGAGTGGCTTGACACACGGAATGCGACACCTGAATCCCATGTCTTTCATGAGTCTCCTCGTGGTGGTTCTTGAAGCGCTGACTCCAGCTGCAGTCCACTCTTTGTGGATCTCCCCCACATTTTCGAATGGGTTTGTCGTCACAATTCTCTGCAGGGTGCGGTTATCCCTAGAGCTTGTACACTTTTTTCTACCACATTTTTTCCGTCCCTTCGCCTGTCTGTTAATGTGCTTGGACACAGAGCTCTGCGAACAGCCAGCTTCTTTAGCAATCACCTTTTGTGTCTTGCCCTCCTTGTGCAAGGTGTCAATTATTGTCTTTTGGACAGCTGTTAAGTCAGAAGTCTTCCCCATGATTGTGGTGCCTTCAAAACAAGACTGAGGGACCTTTTAAAGGCCTTTGCAGGTGTTTTGAGTAAATCAGCTGATTAGAGTGGCAGCAGGTGTCTTCTATATTCAGCCTTTTCAGAATATTCTAATTTTTTGAGATACCAAATTTGGAGTTTTCATTAGTTGTCACTTATGAATATCAAATTTAAATGTAATGAACATTGGAAATACATTGGTCTGTGTGCATTGCATGAATATAATGTACAAGTTTCACGTTTTGAATGGAATTACTGAAATATTTTCAACCTTTTGATGATATTCTAATTTACTGGCCAGCACCTGTAAATGCAGATAATTTACCCACATTGAATCAGCTTAATTTTACTGTTTGAGTTATATTTAACCTTAAATTATCACATTTACAGATACACATATACTTGTAGTTAAATAACTAAACATTAACATAAGTCATAATCTTTGGTTTTAATTGATTATTTTTAAATAAATAGCGTCTTGGACGTATCAGGATTCGTGGGCACGCGACACTAAACGTAAAGCTTCCAGCCCCACTGGAGACGTAATCCCATAAGGAGCACTCACCTCTCCCCTGCGGACCGGTTCCGTCTGTCTCACCGCTGATCAGGTCACAAACATAAACACAGAAGCTCCCATCACAGTTTAAACCTTCGGAAACCTGATGAAAGTTCACGAGCGGCACGTTTATGGATGAACCCGCGCGCGCATCACACGCACAGAGCGGCCTGCTGCCGACAGGCAAAAGTCTTAAGAGAGTTTTGCTTCTCGACTAAAGATGAGCCGTCCTAAACCATTTTACCAGAGATGCAGTGGGTAATCTGTGTGGGCGGAGTTAACGACTACACCGTCAAACACCCCCCAGATTAACCACAGGATTCGTCTCAGAGGGAGGAGCCTTGCTCTAGCAGGAGCAGACCTGGGGAGATTAATAAAGTATTTTTGAATTGAATTGAATTTAGCTCCATCCACTCACAGTAAATAATAGTTAAACAATCTGTCAAGTCTTAATTGTTTGTAAAATAAATTCTTATCTTATTTGCAAATCTGACTGGTTCTTGAATCATAAACGAAGTTTTTACAGTCCCTGAATGAACAAAAAATCTTAGAATCTTCTGTCTAATCATCTTAAAGACCAAGCAGGTGATGCTCTATAATTAATAGTGTATCACAGCTATGGGTCACAAGTAATGAGAATAAAATTAAATAGCTCAAAGCAATTTATTTATCCATTTATTGATTCATTACACACCTGAGCAGGTGCAACGGACGAACTTAAATCCCCCACCCATAATCACATGACCGTCAATCATCTAAATATCTACAAACATACGCCAAAGCAAATCAATACATTTATACACTTATTAATAACATCTTAATGTCTCCTACACACCAGCCCCTAATTATTAATTCATTACACAATAATTATCCAAAAACTCGTAGGAGGCACATGTTAAAACAACCAGGAAATTCAATTCCATAAGCAGTCCTTTTGCAAAATCAATCAATTATTTTTTTTTTACAGTTCATGAGTCTTAAAATGTCTGTAGGCCAGGCCTGATCATGGTGGCAGATCAAAGTTTGAATCCTACTCCCATTCACAGGACCTGAGTCAGCGATTCCACTCCCCGTTCATCCTTCTTCAAGTTCCAGAAGCAGGGACTGCATCATCGGAGAGGGGAGCGCGGGCAGCAGAGGTCGACAACAAAGTAGGAAGTGACGCCACCATCAGCATCAGCTCTGAGGATGTTTTGCAGTCGGCAAACGAAACAGTCAGCAAGGTAAAGAAAAACCTTTCCTTTGTTCAAATGTACAATTACAAACAAGATCTGCACCATCTACTCTTTCTGCCAGTCTCTCTAGTATCATGGTTCAGCTCTTTTGAAACCTTAAGGTGTGTTCCTTCACTCATAAACAGCAATTCTCCTTGCCTCAGTCTACACTCCACATCAACAGAAAATGTTGGAATGTCAAAAAATTCTGGCCGTGGTTCACGTCGATCCTGAGGTGAAAGTGAGAGTAATCTCTGTATCTGCAGGACTTGTGTGGGGACTATGGATATCCATGAGATTAAAGTTGTACATCCATTAAAAAGTGTGTTGTTTTTGTTGGTGTTGCTTGTGTCTGTATGGTACATGACTTTATTGTTTGTCTTGGTGTTCTATGTAAGATAAGAAAAATATGATTTACCTTGAGATTTAAGTGATAATTCCATTTTTTGTCTATTTCTAAAGAAGCCCCCCAACTTAAATGTACACGAAAAGCATTCACAAAAAATGTCAGACATTTATGGAAAAATATAAAACCCTTCTCTGGCTGTATTATTATATATTTCATCATGAGCACTAAAGTTAGACAAAAAAATCTTCCCTTACAGTGTAGACTGATTGCAGAAACCACATTGTTGCTTTTTAGCATATAATATGACGCTTGAGGGTCACTACTAAATGACCATATGTGTATGCTGTAATCATTTCTCCATGACATCTTGTTCTGAGTTTCTGACCTGGGTTGTCATAGTGTTCTAAATAGTTGATTCAGCAATTATAAATTTTTGTTACCCATTATATCAAAGTAATTGTGACACTATAATATAGATGCCTTGGTTAAAATAGTATCCCCCCCCCCCCCCCCCCATTTTATTTTTATAGTTAGTAATGTAACATTGATAAAAACTATTAGTAGTCTATTCTGCAGTCTGAGCAATAATTACAGAGTTGGCCAGCAGAGGGCGTTCGGTGCCTTGTCCAGCAGTAGCTGATGCTCCCGCAGAAGTCAAAACGTAGTGAGGGAGCAGGCTGCGCACCGAAGCTCACTTTGTTGTCCACTGTTTCTGCAGGTAAGCTGGGTTATAAACTGTAAAGGAGCAATACTGAACATTAGTGATAGTGTGTCTGTGCCAAGCCCCCACAATGCGGGTCAAAAATTGAGGCAAACCTGGAAGAGAAATAAATTGCAGTTCCACCCTCATCCACTAGGGGCTGGTGTCGGAAGCGAGCACATCCTCATTGACTCCCATGTTAAAAATACCAATTTCACAGCAGAAATAAACATGTTTACAGCCTGGTACCAAAACATGTTTTTGGTTTAAATGATCTAGTTTACACTCATGACAACTCTGAGGGGGGTGAATTATTTTCTCACTCTTCTGTTTAAGTGTATTAAAAGTCTAAAATTCTGTATAAGTAATGAGCATCACACCCACGTGACTACCACCTCAGACCCAAGTGACCACAGAGCTAGCTCCGTTGAAAGGCCTCAGTAGAGCCTCGGTCTGGCCTGGAAACTGTTCGGGATTTTGAGTCTCTGTGTGTGTGTATTCTGTTTTGGATATTATTTGTGCAATTGTTGGACACAATGACTTGCTGTGGTATTAATTGCACTAATAGAGCATCCAAGGAGTCTCCACTTCATTTTTTCCGGTAAGTAAAATTATATTTATGTATTTTAGGTCACTGCCGCCTTTTACTAGCTGAGTTTATCAAAGTAGCTAGCTAACTACCATTTTAACATGTACTGTTTGGTTTAACCATGAAATTTAGATGTAAAATACGGTACAATAATTAATAGGGCATATGTCAATGGGTAAAAGGGTAAAACCCAGTGCATTTTACATAAAAATGGGATGAAATATGACGGAGCTCTCGGAGGGACACTTCTGTGTTCCATTCTTCCACCCGGTTCTCCCCAGCGGTCAGGCCGGCGCATGTCTGACCGCTGCGGCGCCTAGCTGCTGCGCCTAGCTGCTGCGCGGGCTGACCGCTTGTGGAGCTCTCGGACTCGGAGAGAGACCTGACCGCAGAAATACTGCAGCTCGGTGAGTTGGACGATAGTGCTTGATGTTAGTCTCCAGAAGCTGTGTGCCATCAGATAAATTCAGTCTTTTTTTTTGTTTCTGGTGCGGCTTAAATTGAGGTGCGCTCGATAGTCCGGAAATTACGGTACGTGTTTTAAACCAATATGCTTAAGTAGTTCTTTGTATGAAGTTTTCCTCTAAGTGATCCAGAGAGGCTTGACCTTTGGGTAAGCAACCAAAGAAGAGAGTGCTGGACTCCCAATTCACACTCCCGCTTGTGCAGTGAACACTTTGAGAGTCATCACTTCACCACGGACTCCAGGGTACAAACACATTACTTCATATTTTGGTTGAGATTGAAAAAATTGAAGCATTAGTTGTATAATAAAAAGATGTTACATTGCTGTGTGACAAGAAGAAAATGTTCCCCTCCCTTGAACTGTCTGTGACTGGGGCTGTTTAGATGGGAAACAATCACGTTATTAATTTCCATCTTATTCTATGGATATTTATTCTGATAAACTAACTTTTTTGTCAGTCTTTAATGTGTAGCTTTTTGTATTTGGATGAATGACAAATATTCATGTTAAACTAAAACATTAGGCATTTAAGGAGAAATTAACAAAATAATAAACATTCTACTGCCGTCAAATAAATCAAACTGTTATTAAAATATATATTTTCAAAGTGTCGATTCTGGATAAAATCCAACTACATATGCTTTATAAATAACAAACACTCTCCACATGGCTTTTACACACACACACACACATGCATGCATGCAAGCACGTGCACACACACAGTGCTCTGGTGTACCAGTGTGTTTTTGAGATACAGAAATTGACCTTGTCTGATGTGTGTATATGTGAATCTCTTTTTTAATTTTTTTATTTTAGGGGAGACTTTGCCTGAAGGACACAGCCGTACCTACAATCTTTTCGTCCTTTAAGGTCAAAAAACATCTTCCAAGAAGGAAAGTACAGGTAAGTAGGAATGACAAGGTAAGTTTTGAGAGTATGTGGTTTTTGGTTTGTTTGTTCTATTTTGTTCCTAGCAGGTATTAATTTTCTCTCTGCGGTTCAGTTCCTGCCACCACCCCCAGTGTCAGCTGCTGAACGTCATCAGCTTATCTGAAAGTAAGATTTAAATGATTCTATCATCTTTGGTGATCTCACGCCTAAAAAACATACTTTGTTCTAATGTTGAAATTAACTGAAGCTGATCTTTAACCTGCTGACCTCTATAACTTTATTCCTGTTCCTACTTACAAAGAAACCCCTGTGCAGAGTCCTTCAGACACCCAAGTGACCTAAGTGATCATCTAATCAACACAACGACTCCTACATAACAGAGAATAACGATGCAAACGAACCATGACGAGGTAGGGAGGAGGTGTTTTGCAGGTGACAGTTTCTGCTTATCAAGCAACCATAAACAGCTACAATAAAGCCTGATTCATGCTTCTCCATCAGCTCCAACAGGGAGAGACACGCACGCACGGACGGAGGTGTTTTGCCCTCATGCTTCTCCATCTCCTGGGGAGTGCTGCAAAGCAATTCCCGGCCAGGACAGCAGAGGGAGTAGCGCTGTTCTGTGGTATCCTGTCATGTATCCGGTCCAAGATGGTGTGTTTATATTTAGTTTTATGTATATAAGAGTCTTTTTAACAGACAAATTTGTCTCTCATCCTCCTCCACCTCTTCATGCGCTCGCCACCTCTAAACCCACGTTTCCTGTCATTTCCGTCCACAAATAATACGCTTGCTGCATATCTTTTCACTCCTCCGGTCACGGGGAATTAAAACGTTCATGTTTTTAGAGTTTTTTTTATTGCAAGGTATTCTTCAAGCTTCTCCGTGTCTGCCGCTGGTTATCCTCAGCTCTTTGTTTTTGAGGGCGCAATGGTGGCGGTGTAGATGACAGCGGCGTCCTGACCAATCACAAACTTGCGTAGTCCGTCTCGTTCGACGGATGTTTAAAAAAGTGGATTCGACTCTGTACGTACTTGCGTGCCTGCCGGTGCCCTACGCAAGGACGGATAATGGCGTTGCGTGTCTCTGCACTGATGCAGGAGAATGGTAAATGGCCTGTATTTGATATAGCGCCTTCTAGAGTCCTGGGACCCCCCAAGGCGCTTTACAACACAATCAGTCATTCACCCATTCACACACACATTCACACACTGGTGGGGATGAGCTACAATGTAGCCACAGCTGCCCTGGGGCGCACTGACAGAGGCGAGGCTGCCGTGTTCTGGCGCCACCAGTCCCTCCGACCACCACCAGCAGCCAACGTGGGTTAAGTGTCTTGCCCAAGGACACAACAACAGCGACAGACTGAGCGGGGCTCAAACCTGTAACCTTCCGATTACGGGGCAAGCTCTTAAACTCCTGTGCCACCGTCGCCCCACAAGCATGAATCAGGCTCAAGATCGACTCTCCTATATTCGTGAAACCAAAGAAGTCCAATTGCCTTCTTTAAAATTCTATTTGATGTCATATTGAACAACAGTTGTATTTGATTCTAATTTTAATGATTCTGTTTCAGGTAGAATTGCTGTGTGATTCCTGTGTCCCGTGGCCCATGACCTGTGTCAGCCCAGTTCTGGATGTGACCTTGCTGAGTTATCTGTAGCAAGGTGCTCGGCTGTCTGGGAGGTCAGCCAACACAGCCCTACAACATCCAGAGCCTTGAGGAACTCTGGGCAGATCTCATCCAGCCCTGGCGCCTTGTCACCAAGGAGCTTCAATAACACATCTAATAAATGATCATTTCAAAGGTTTTCTAAATCTATAAAAGGAGCGAGAATAAAGGAGAGAGCTGCACCTGCTCTAATCTGACAAATGCACAACTGACTTTATGGAGATACGACTATTTATTGTTGTCAAATAAATTAGTAAGTAAAAATAAAATAGTCTAAGCTTGGAAAGTTCTCTTATTCTTTTATTTAAAAAAAATAACAACCAAAGTGGACTGGATATGACTTCTGATATGTTTTTGATGAAGATAGGACCGCACTCAGTGAGCCTTAAAAGGAGACATAAAGTTAAAAATCTAATGTTTAAAATCTTCAGACACATGTTCAGTCATCACTTTGTAAAAACAAAGCAAATAGAAAACATTTTATAACAGAACTTTACTAATTGCACATCTAATAAATGATCATTTCAAAAGTTTTCAATCAGATTTATTTATAAAGCGCTTTTCAAACAAAGTGCTTTACAAAATGACCCCAGATTCCCATAACTGGTTGAAAATATTAACAGACATATGCAAGCACACACACGCACGCACACACACACACACACACACACACACACACACACACACACACACACACACACACACACACACACACACACACACACACACAATTAAAAATTATATTTGGCTGAGTCCAGATGAGCCAAGTAAGGTAAGGCAAGGAAACGCCATCAGAGGAGCCGTCTGCCCTGGCAGCATCAGGTTTTCCACACTAAGTCAGGGCGCTCAGTGGAGGGGGAGCATAGACCCCCACCTCCACTTAAACACTACCTATAGAGCGCCCAGGAAGCTCCAGTCGAC